ACTTTGACAAGTTACAGTGTAGGATAGTGGAAAGCGCTCTGGGGACCTGGGCTTAAATACTGACCCTGATACTTAATATCTGTGTCACCTTGGGCAAATCATTTAATTTTAAGGGCTCCAATTTTCTCATCTCTAAAATGAAAAGGCTGGACCAGATGGCCTCTGAGGGCCCTTACAGTTCTAGACCTATGATCCTATCATCCAAAATCTTCAACTCAGGTCAGGACTTTTATCCATTCAACAAATATTTATTAATCTCCAACTATGTCCAGAGCACCATGCTGGGAGTGAGGGAGGTGGTACCAAACTTAGATAAGACATGGTTCCCGTCCTCAAGAAGCTTATAGTCTGGTAGGGAAAAATAAGAAAAGACAGATTAATGCAGAACACTGCATGATAAGTGCATTAGAAAATAACCAAAAGATTATATGAGTTTTAAGAGGAAAAATCTTTACCAACAGGTCGACCAGGGAATACTTTATGGAGCAAATGGCACTTGAATTGTTCTTTAAAGGATGGATAAGAATTTAAAATGCAAAAATGATGAGGGAGGCCTACAGTATGTACCAGAGCTATTCTGGTCCCTGAGGAAGACTCACAGACCAAGCTTACAGTAGGAGGTTAAGACACAAATGCTGATAACTGTACTATAAAATTTCACAAGATAAATCCATTAAAGAGGTGCAAGAACAGCACGCAATGAGAGGTCTGAGAGGGCAGAGTTGGCCCAGCCTTGACAACACTTGCAGCAGCCTTAAATGAGGGGCAGACAAGTCAAATTTTATAGTAGTAATAGGTTGGGAGGGGCCTTAGAAGTCAACTAGTCCAACCTTCTCATCTTACAAACAAAAACATGGTGACTCAGAGAGATTAAGTGATTCAGGTAATAGGTGGCAGACCAGGATTGGAACCCAGGCTTTCTGTCTCCAAATTCAGCACTCATTCCACTGTACCACACCACCTCCCCAGGTGATATCCATCTGTCATCACATGTCACCAAGTGTGTCACAAAAATGGGACAACTCCCAACAACTATATAGCTCACTCTGAAATCTTCAGGCACTAAAGATTCACCGTATAAAGTATTCAGGGCCCTCTTGCTCCCAATTTTCTGGTCATCATTCCACTACTCCATCTTCAGATAGAGTCCAGGGCCAAGGGTAAGTGGAATTTCTTTTTGTTTCTACTACCAATTCTGATCTTAAACTTAACAGGCAAGATAAGGTTTCCGGGATTATCTATCAATTCCAAATAACTGTGCATGGGACCCTTGACTACCACTCTTCTTCCCTTCTTTCCAAGAATAGTCACAATGGTCTCTAAACCTTAGAGGAGACTTCCCGAAGGTCTACAAATGGTGAGGAAATCCTGGGCTGGCGAGTTCCGATGGGAGAAATAGTCATCTGTCCCTGAAGGGCAGAAGAGCAGCTGTGGCCCAGACTCGAGTTTTAAAGGGATAAATAGAGAGAGATTGAGAGACTGGTGCGTTACCATACCAACACTCCATTCTCTCTCAGGGAAGTAAACCTAATAGAAAACTTATGAATTGTGTGATTCATAAATAGCAGAGCACATGTGTGCTTGGGCTAAAATAGTTTTAAACTGAGAAAAAAAATGTGAAAACTGAAAAAAAATCACAAGTTCTTAAACACTTAATTAGCTTAATCCATGGAAGGGAAGATCCTCTGGTCCAGTTTCCCACAAAAGGCACAAACATTTACGGGACTCTTTCTGGCTTAAACCACCTCATTGTTTCAATTGAATCAGCCTCTGGGGTACTAAAGTATATACACTCTCCTCTTAACTGCTTTACCTTGATCCACTCCCACTTCTCTCTAGCTTTAAGAAACTGGGTAGTTGGTTGCTGAGATTCCTTCCAAGTCTAAGATTTTAAGATTCTAAGTGGGGCACTGCAGTGCTGTGCCCCCAAAGACCCAAATGAAAACACTGTGCTCACAGACTGCTAATCACATGCTTGTTGCTGCATAAAACTTAGAAATAGGACACAGTCCAGCTCCATCTAAAAGTTCCTTCAACTGATTTCATTGCACTTTATCCTTCTATTTTGCAGTTACATTCCGAACTACATTTTGTTTATTTGAATACATTCTTTTTCCCTTATTAGATTGTCAATTCCTTGAAGGTAGGAACAATTTCTTAATCACATTTCTACCACCCTTAGTTCAATGTATAATAGTCTACATCTAGCAGCTGCTTAATAAAGGCTGAATGAATGAGCAAAAACCTGGGTTGGGAACAAGGAGAAGGAGTGAAATGAATCCCACATAGCACATGACCAAACCCATCCTCCTGGAAATGGAAGATCAAAGAATTATAGAATGTCAGAGGCCATCTATTCAACTGCTGGATCAAGAATTCCTGCCACAACATCTATGACAAGCGGTCATCAAGCCTTGAAAATTTACAATAAGGAGGAAACCACTGCTTCCTGAATCAGCCTATTCCACTTTAAGATAACTATTCCATCCATTAAGCCTAAAATTTAGAAAAGTATTCCTTATAAAAAACCTAAGTCTGCCTCTAATTTTTTCCCACTGCTCCTGAATACCCTCGAAGGCAAACCAAAATAAAACTGGGGTTCAAATCCAGGCCTATCTGCATCTGTTATCCTCATGACATATCTTCAGGTCCTCTCTCCTCCTGGCCAAACATCTCCAGTTCCTTCGGTCAGTCCTTGCATGCTATTATTTCCAATCCTCACCAATCCTGGGTGACCTCCTCTGAATGACAATGTCCTTGATTGTCAATGTCCTACAGCTGATTCAGGTGAGTGACACTGCCTTGTAGTTCTCCACTGAGGTCCTACCAGCATCATAAAGAGCACCTATAGCTTCTCATGGCTGTTTTGTACTGAGTTAACAAGGAAATGCTGTTAACAACCAAAGTCTTTGCTTTCCTGAACCAACAGTCTCCAGAATAATACCAATATCTTTTAAGCAAAAACTAGCCTAACTTGTATAGGGGGAGGAATTAAGATATTGCTTCTATCACAACCTCCAAACTTAATTTTCTTTCTCTAGACATAGCGTATAAAATTTTGACAAAGGAAGTTGAGCAGAAGTTGCAAAGAGGCAGATTTAGGCTCTTTGGAACAATTAGAACCACTCAAAAGTAGAAGGAGCTACATTTGGGAAATGGTCAGTTCTCCAGCACTAGAAATCTGCAAGTACTTGACAAGGATGTGAAAGAGAAGATTCCTATACAGATATGAGTTGGATGGATTCTGAGGTCTCTATGAAAAGAGAAAGAGTAGATGCCAAGGACAGGTAAGACAGAAAAGCAGCCCAAGAGTCTGCCTTAAAGGGAGAGATGTCAAGTCAATCCATCTTTAATCAGTGAAATTAGGTGGTTGATATCTCAATGGATTTCAACTATCTGTTCTTTCCTTATCTCAAATAACCATAAATATAGAAAAAAACTGAGCAAAGCAAGTAGCCTATATATAGCTAATCTCGTCAAATCAGGAGGACACAAATCACATAGGTTGAGGGAGCTAGATGGTATCTAGGGAACAAAGATAAAGCATTTTATGATGCTATAAACTCAAGAGCAAGATGCTAGGCCATTCACGAAAGTAACACACACTCACAGCCTAAGAGAAGCTAGGCAGAAAAATCTGACCAGAGAAGGCTATTTGGGCTATTTCCCTATAGCCCATAGAGCCAGTCAGAGACATTTCCCTATGTTCTTACTAAACCTGGATAGTAAGGACAAGAGAAGAAACTTATTCTAAAGGAATTTTCAAAGCCTCCCTGCAACCCTGGACCCTGCAAAGAAAGGAACAGACTACAAGCTTACATTAATGCATTTGGCTGAGCAAAAAATTGATGCCTTTCCTTTGTTCACAAAAAGCTAAGCATACATGCCATGCCCTCAGACTCTCTTGTTCATAAGCAAAAAAGAGCACAGATACATCCATCCCACGAAAAGGAAGCATATGCTCAACCGTGCCCTCCCTTGCTCAAGGGAAAGTGTGTGCTTTATTCAGGAACGGAAGTAAATCTTATATCCACTTCTGCAGGGCTCCTTCCAAGCTAAGTCTAAGTTCAGTCTGAAGAACAAATTCCTTCTGAGTACGACTGCAAGAGAAGATGTACATTGGCATTCGGAATCTTTAATCTGCAATTGTGGGTAGGTGTCCCAATCATTCTATTATTAGTCTTCAAGTAGTTGGCTTGATTGGAAACCAAGTTTATGAACAGACCTACTGTACTTATAAAGAATCTTTTCTTAGTTTTGATTCCAAGGCAATAGACTCTTCAGAAATATAAAAAGAGAAGGAGTGGAGGAAAGGAGGTTTTCAATTTGCATAAGCCTTGTTCTCCATAAATCTGAAAGGGGGGAAAAAATCAAACCAAGTCAATTTCCTAAGGTAGGCAGGAAGAGACACAGCACAGGGGTGCTGTCCTAACTCCCCTCACCTTGAACTCTTAAACAACTAACATGAACTTCACAGCAATGCAAGAATCTAAGACAATTCCAAAAGATTCATGATGGAAATTGCTATCCACACCCAAAGAAAGAAATATGGAGTCTGAATGCAGATGGAAGCATACTATTTGCTCTCCTTTTCCTTTGTTGTTTTGTTTTATTGCTTCATTCTCATGGTTCCTCCCATTAGTCCTAATTGTTCTTTACGTTATGACTAATGGGAAAATATGTTTAACATGAATATATATGTAGAGCCTATATAGGATTGTACACCATCTCAGGGTGGGAGGGAAGAAAAGGGAAGGAGAAAAAATTTAAAACTCAAAATCTTATGGAAGTGAATGTTGAAAACTAAAAATAAATAAATTTAAAATTTATATATATATATATATATATATATATATATATGTATGTATGTATGTATGTATGTATGTATAAAAGAAGGGAAAAAAACATGAAAATGCAAATGGCAAGCCCTGATGGTGTTTCAAGAAGCTCCAAGGGGACAAGTTTCCTTGGCAAAAGTACATGTGAAATGGGAAATGTACCTCCGAAGTTCATTCATAACCTTGAATGCCTTCCCCATGTGGGCAGGGTTAACTGTAATTGTCCTCTGGTCCTTCTCTTCATCCTCACCTTCCACCAGGGACTGGGAACTTGCCTTGATGCTGTGAAAGGAAACAAGGAGGAGAGGGAGGGTCACACTGGACTGTTTTCAGTGAAAATTAAAAAGCACAGAGCACTAAAAACACAGTAAAAGAGATCACAAACAATCATAAAAGAAATTAACGTGGAGTGAGAGTACCTGGGTTCAAATGCTGACTCTGCTATACCTACTATGTATCCTTGGGAATATCTCTTAGGCCTCAGTTTCCTCATCTGTAAAATGGAGGAGAGATACAGAATAGACTGGATGATGCCTAAAGTCCTTACCAGTTCTAAACTGATGACTCTATGATCCTACCCACAGAGGAAAAGGCTCTAAAACATGGGATAGAGAAAAAAAAGCCCTAAAAGTAGAGTTAAAGGACCTAAATTTGAAACCTAGCTCTGTCACACACTGCTGAAAAAACAGGATGATGGACTCAGAGTCAGCAAGGGCTGGATACAAATACCATCTTATATTCTTATAAGCTGTGCAACTTTGAGCACTTAATTTCAATGCTTCAGTTTCCTCATCTATAAAATGGAAGACTTGGACTAAATTGGAAATTCTCAACCTTTTTAGCATTGTGGACCCCTTTTGCAGTCTGATAAAAACTATGGGCTCTATAATAGAATTAACATTTTAAATAACTGAAGAAATGAAAAGTTAGTGATAATCAAGACACAAATTTTTTCTTGTTCAAGGACTTAGAGAAATCATGAGTCCTTGGACCCATGATTAAGAGCTCCTGGGTCACATAAGCAGCAAGTGGCAGGGCTAGAATTTGAACCCAGCTCTTCTAATTCCAAACCCAGCATTTCTTCAACTGTACATCTTGTGCATAGTAGTTCACTCTAACTCGGGTACTCAGTTCCCCACATAAGCAACAATGAAATGAGTATCCCAATCACTTCTTGGCTTTGCTTTATTCAAAAAAAGGGAACTGGGCTAAAAGTAAAAGTACATTCCCACCAACCACAGTTAATTCACACTCAAGCATAAACATTGCTTTCATTTATATCCTGATTTACGCTTTTCAAAGTGCTTTTACATCTATGATATCACACAACCGACGCATAGGGGAAGAAGGAAAAAGGACAGGGCCTGTGAACCCCACTTTCAGACAAGGAAACTGAAGTTCAAAGAGGTGGAAAATGACTTGATGGTCACCTGGGTCAGTGAGTGGCAGAGCTGGGAAGAGAACCCAGACCTACCAAGTCAAACTCCTTTGGCTCTATGACCTCCCTCTAAGAGTCACCATAAAAGTTGTTGTTGTTCAGTCACGTCTGAGTCTTCATGACCCCACTTGGCATTTTCTTGTCAAAGACACCGAAGTGGTTGGCCATTTCCTTCTTCAGTTCATTTTACAGATGAGAAAACGGAGGCAAACAGGGTTGAATGACTTGCCCAGGGTTACATAGCTAGTAAGTGTCTGAGACCAGATTTGAACTCAGAAAGAGAAGTCTTCCTGACTCTAGGCCTGGCATTCTATCCACTGCAACACCTAGCTGCCCGTCACTATATGTGCTAGGCATGTAGTACCAGTTTTCAAAGAACTAGAATACAACAAACCAAATTAAAGCTCAAACAAAGTAAGCTCAATATTGAAATGGTCCTGAGCAGAATCTAATTTTCCTTTGACCTTTCTGACTCTCTAGGCTTCACATGCAGCATGGCACAGTGGAGAGCTGGCCTCTAAACCAGTACCACCTGGGTTTAAGTCACACTTCTGCTAAATCCAATGGTCTCTTCTCAGTCCTCATCTTCCTTAAGCCCTCTGCAGCTTTTAATATTTCTGATCACCCTTTTTCTCCCTTGGCTTACACAGAAATGCTCCCTACTCTGTTTCTAGATCTTAATTCCGAGATTATCACCCATCTCCTAACCACTCAGTGTGAAGTATCTGTCAAGGGCTTGTCCTGGGCCCTCTTCACTTCTTTCTCTACACTCTCTTCCTGGTAGAGCCCTTCTGCTCCTAGAGGTTCAATTATCACCTCCAAGTGAATGAATCCTAAATCTGTATATCCAGCCCTAATTTCTTTCTTGAACTCCAGTCCTACATCCCCAGTAGTGTTCTAAACATCTTCAGCTGGATGTCTTGTCACCGTAGCCAACCACATGTCTAAAACGAACACATCATTTTCTCCCCTTAATCCTGCCCTTCCTCCAAACTTTAAGTTTTAGCTCTGCCACTTACTGACCCTGAGCAAGTCCACTTGAGTGCTTCACACGAGCTCCTCGGGTGCAAAATGAAGGGGTTAGGCTAGATAATCTCTCAGGTGCACTTTGGCCCCAGGGCCCACCACTCTGCAGAATGGATAATGCTGCTCATGCTACCTGGATGATCAGGGAGTCCACCAACTATAATCCTTCCAGCAAAGGGAAGGTCTCCAGGCCTCATCATCTGCCAGGCCACTCCACCACCTAGATCTCCAAGCCCCTCTATCTGACTCTATTAGTGCACACTAAGGATTTCTAAGTCATCCCCTCTGTCACTGAACTCTTACGACTTCTGCTCTGCAGGTGAACCCTCCCCTATGCGTTATCCCCCCAAGGACAGGACAAGGGAATTGTACTAAAAGATACCTCTGGCTTACGGTCCCACTCTCCCATTCTGCAACCCTATTCCAGGCATGAGCTCCATGATGAAATCCCAGAATATGACCTCTAAACTAACCCCTTCATTTTACATACAGGGAAAACGAGGCCCACCCAGAGAGGGGAAATGACTTGTCCAAGATAACAAAAGTATTAAGTAACAAAGCCCTTTGTACTGCTCACTCTGCCTGCTTTGTTGCAATAGTTTCCTACCTAACTGGCTTTTCCTGCCTCTAGCCTCTTCCCTCCTTCAACGTTTCTTGCACACTGCCACAGACTAATGCTCCAGAAAGGCCACTTTCATCTTGTCATGCCCAATCTGGAAAAGCTTTCCTGATTCCCGTGATGATTTGGACACAATGCTATCCATACTGTTTAGGTACTGAAGGGCCAGCACAATCATGCTCCAAGCTGTCTTTCTGGCTTTATCTCCTGCCATTCCTAAATTGTCACCCCAATAGGTCTATTCACTATCCCCAAAAATGTCTTACACTTTCGCACTTCTATGCTATGACTTCTTCCTTCACCCATTCCAGACACCTAAAATATTACTTATCCTTCAGGTCACTTCACTTTTCTGAGACTTAATGTCTTCACCTGCAAAATACAGATGATATTAACTTATACTACTTACCTCCTATGGTTATAAACCTTAAAGCATTATATAAATGCTAGTTATTATTCAAAACAGTTCAAATGCCACCTCTCCCAAGAAGTCTTTCCTGTATTCCCCTTTCCCCCAACCAATAATGATATTTATCCCCAAACCTCCCATAGCACTTTTTTGGCACTTCAATAAAGTGCCAATAAAATTACTTAACATGTAATATTGCACATTATAGTTACCTATATTAATGTTTTAGTTAATCAGTTAATCAACAAATATTTATTAAATGCCTACCATGTGCCAGGCATTGTGCTAAGTTCTGGTGAAAGAGAATGCCTGCCCTCAAAGAACTCACAATCCAATGAGGGAGATATCAGGCAAACAAATATGTTCAAACAAGTTATGCACAGAATACATATTAAATAATTAAGAGAGAAAAGGCATTAGAGTTAAGAAGGGTTGGGAAAGGCCTCCTTAGAAGATGGGATTTTAGGGGCATCTAGGTGACACAGTGGATAGAGCACCGGCCCTGGAGTCAGGAGGACCTGAGTTCAAATCCAGCCTCAGACACATAACACTCACTAGCTGCATGACCCCGGGCAAGTCACATAACCTCATTGCCTAGCTAAAAGAAGAGGAAAAAAAAAGATGGGATTTTAACTGGGCTTAAGAAGGCCAGAGAAAACAGCAGGTAGAAATGAGGAAGGAGAGCATTCTAGGCTTGCACTATCTACTGTTAGCTGTCTCATCTCAATTTGTTTATCTCCCCCAGGGACAGACAGAGCTGTACCAGCAGTAAGTATTTAATAAATGTTAGTGAAAAGAACGAATACATACATTTAGCCATTATGGACAATCACAATTCATCCAAAGACTCCAGAAACTGTCATTTCTAAATTCTTCCCTTTGTAAACAAGTTCAAGAAAAGGCATCATTGTAAATCATAGTACCAAATTACATAATGCACTTTTTCATCCAGATTCCATGGGAAGAATTTTCTAAATGTATTACACTTCACAAGAGAAGTACCATTATAGAATCACAGAGTCTCAGAGCTAGAAGGAACATTATTTACTCCAACATGTACCTAAATAAAAATGCCCTCAACGAAATCCCCAGCCTTTGACTGCAGACCTCCAGTGAAGGGGAACCCATTACCTCCTAAGGCATTCCAAACCATTGTTAGAAAATTCCTTATTAGAATCTCTCTCTCTCTCTCTCTCTCTCTCTCTCTCTCTCTCTCTCTCTCTCTCTCTCTCTCTCTCTCTGTCTCTCTCTCTCTCTCTCTCTCTCTGTGTGTGTCTCTGTCTGTCTCTCTCTGTCTCTCTCTGTCTCTCTCTCTCTGTGTCTCTGTGTGTCTCTGTCTGTCTCTCTCTGTCTCTCTCTCTGTCTCTCTCTCTCTGTGTCTCTGTCTGTCTCTCTGTGTCTCTCTGTCTCTCTCTCTCTCTGTGTCTCTGTCTGTCTCTCTCTCTGTGTCTCTGTCTGTCTCTCTGTCTCTCTCTCTCTCTGTGTCTCTGTCTCTCTCTCTCTCTGTGTCTCTGTCTGTCTCTCTCTCTGTGTCTCTGTCTGTCTCTCTCTGTCTCTCTCTCTCTCTGTCTCTGTCTGTCTCTCTCTGTCTGTCTGTCTGTCTCTGTCTGTCTGTCTGTCTCTCTCTCTCTCTCTCTCTCTCTCTCTCTCTCCAAACTTCTTTCTTCTCTCAACCTCCAGCTCAAACTGGTGAGCTTTCTCATCATCTTGCTCCAAAAAAGGTTTCCATGTCATTTGGGGGCTATTTCCAAATCATGCCACTGCGCATACATTCCTAATCCCTTTCTAAC